GGATTTTACCTGCACAGCATGCCATGTCTGCGGACTTGCGTATGGACGAAATCGAGTCTGTGGAGGACGAAAAGGTTCACTCGAGGATACATCACCGTCATCGAGAAGGAATTTGATTTCAATTGAGGTACGAGATGGTCACGGCAGATGGCGGGGAGCGCCGCAAGCTGCGCTGCTAATGACATTGTGAGCGTCCATCCATCCAGACATGAGAGAGTAGGAGGTGGAGAGACATACAGGCATGGGGACGGAAGATGATGGGTTCCAGAGACCAGCAGGCATTTCGTCATTTGTGTGTTGTTCGTGTTCAATGCCTCATGAGTCAGAAGTGTTTTCTCGGCTTACATGAACCGTTGAGAAGGTTATCTGGCCGATTCCGGCATGCTGGATGTTGTTTTAGTGGGTGGGCTTCGTTACGACATGTACTTGTAAACTGATCATTGAAAAAAAAAAAAAAAAAAAAAAAAAAAAAAACCTGACCTTCCAGCAGGATGATGGCAAGTGAAGTGTTTGTCATGTAAAGCGGTGATCAATATCCAGGGACCTTTTCGTGGGTGTGTGGATGTGATTTGGTTGTTCAAGGGGATAGTGGGCATGTGTGGCCGTGCCTTAGACCTGAAGTATGTGGTAGGATTTCTCCACAACAGCCCCTGTTCCACCCTCAGATAACTACATCCAAAATTGAAGAAGCTTTACCTCTATTGTAGACAATGGAGCACACACTTGCGATGAGTGAATCCAACGTTGGATTCTCTTTCTCTGCATGTGTGCGTGCGTGCGTGCATGTGAGCGAGTGAGCATGCGTGCGTGCGTGCGTGCCTGCATGCCTGCATGCCTGCATGCGTGCCTGCGTGCCTGCATGCGTGCCTGCGTGCCTGCATGCGTGCCTGCGTGCCTGCATGCGTGCCTGCGTGCCTGCCTGCGTGCCTGCCTGCGTGCGTGCCTGCGTGTGTGTGTGTGTGTGTGTGCCTGCGTGCGTGACTGCGTGCCTGCGTGTGTGCGTGCGTGGGTGACTGCTTGCCTGCGTGCCCACGTGCGTGCATGCGTGACGGAATTAAATGAAACTCGTCGGGCTATGCTTGAATCCATTAGTTTGGTTTTGAGCTGCAGAAATGGGCCGGGAAGATTTCACGTAGTCTGTACTATACGAAATATACTGAGAGGGTCATAAAGTTAGCGACACTGGAGCAACTGTGTGATCTCCCTCTTGTCGCCGAACTCAGAAAGGGTAACATGTTCAAAGGGAAGAAGGCCGTCAGACAGGAAAGGATCAGAGACGATGTTTCTTATAAGCGAGGAGATGCAAAGTCAATGCTTGTAGCTGAAATACAGGACGAGGGTGACAGCAGTTGCACTCAGTGCAAAGTCAGTGCTTGCAGATGAACAACAGGACGGCGATGATGACAGCGGTTATGCTCAGAGAGGGGACTACGCTACCACATTGCAGTCCGTAGCAGAGGGCCAGAAGGAAGGGCAAAATCTTAAACC